TTAAAAGTGTCTCCTAAACTGTGTTCAATGTTATAAAATCTGAAGCATTAAAAAAAAAAACACTAAAACATTGTTTTTCCCGAATATCTCCTCGATTAAAATAATTTAAAAGTGTCTCCTCTCTCTCTCTCTCTCTCTCTCTCTCTCTCTCTCTCTTTCTAAAATATTAAATATAAATAACTCATGGTTAGCGGTGTTTAATAATAAAATCATATAACGTATATTATGTATGTACGCGTGACGTGTAGCTGCTGCGCCAGGAAGACAACCATCCGATATCGCTTTTCAGAAATCAAATTTGTACAATTCTTCCAACTTGAGAATATGAAATACGTGATATTGCACAGTTTCACGGTGTTGCATGAAACTCATGGGACAATCCTTTTTTTGCTTGTAGCACAAGGAGGAAATCGAAAGTTATGTCAATACGGTATTAGATACGTTTATTAATTGTAATTACGATTCAAGATCAGTTCCAAGACTCAAGGGACTCCTTGTGCATTGTAAGCCATAAGGAGATGATACCTGGTAAAAAAACCTGGTAATTTATCACAATGACTGTGAAATACAAATTATTTTCATTGTTAAGATTTGATTGTTTATATATTATATATAATTCTAAAATAAATTTAAAAATATTATTATTATATAATAAATTTGAAAATATTATCTTCACATTTCCTCCGCGTGGCACAAAACTGAGTTCTTCAAGATGATCGTTATGCATTGGTTGATTCTTTAATTCTACAGTGTGTCTCTCATTGGATCCTTACATAATTATTCAAAGGACACCTGAAAGACAATTACTGATCGTGACGCAACCGCCGCATAGTAATTTTGTTATACGCTTCCTTATATATTTATTTAATTATTTCTCTCTTTTTTCTCTTCCTCTTCGTAAAGATATTTATCTTCATTGAATATGTTTTGAACGCTTTCAGACATAATGAATGTATTACACACGTAATACCGTAATCTCTCGTGAACAAACTCCTAACCTATTCCGATGTAGGCTCTGATTTGTCAAGTGGAAACTCGAATTACATTTTTTTTAAATACTATAACGGTGACCCTGTTTATGGTGCTTGCGATACATTACCTCTTCTTTCTATTGCTATGTAGCGATGTCGCGGTTACCACTACGTTTCTCTTTCTAAGAGTCACTGATGATGTGAAATGTAAATGCCATGTAAATTACATTAACCACTGGTATACATATACATAAAGACTACGTATTATAAGAACAGAACCTTGGAACTGCAATTTCTTTTTTTTTTAACAATAAATTTTACTATGAGCTGCTATTGACAACGAGCCATTTCGTGGAATTATTATACTATAATAGAATAAGGAAGGTAAGTACCGTACGATCATTAAGTATTGTCCATTCGTTGGAAGACGCATGGACGGCAAAAATAAAAACAGACATACTCACTCCGTGAGATTAACACCCACGACATGCACAATAGATAATATAGAGAAATACCCTCCTCACAATGAAAGTTTTGAAACAAAAGTGAAATCCTAAAGAAGAACGAGAACAGTTTTCTTATCGCGAAGCAAAGATACTATATTTTCAATGGATTTCAAAGACAATGGGAAACTCGCAATTCCAAAGTGTGGTAAAAAGAAAGAAAGAGAAAAGAGAAAGAAAATAAAACATGGGTGTCGTAAAATACTTGCACATGAGTATGAGCTACCTTGACCAGAGATAGGAATAGCAAGTGCGACAAAAGGGACGTTCTGTTATATGTTATAAACGCAAAGTCTGCTCGAAGTATAATTTATGATTGTTTTTATGTGGATGAATGACTGAAAGACCCATGTTTTAAAACCAGTTTTGTAGCGAGGAAGTCGATGATTTGAGGAAGTATTTTACTGAACGATGGGGTTTAAGCGATGAGACCTTCGGCGGTGGCGAGATGCTCGTGTACCGGTACTCGTAACCGGTGTCCACTCCCCAACGCCACTGAGAATATCGGTTAGTCATCTGATAAATGCTGTTTTGTAACTTTTTGTTGTGCGCGCACTGCAAGTCACAGAAACGAACGGGGTTGGGTCGTTAGCCACCTTTGGTGCTACTCTCTCGATGCTTGGCTAAAGTAAGCTTTAGGTTTTATGCATCTGACATGTTACATAGTGAATGATAGAGTGAGTCCTCTATAAAGCAAGTCGAAATAGATCGTTTCGCTTTACGAAATTTTTATGATATCGAGTAGTAAAGGAAAAAAGCTGAATTTCATGCGACTTCGCAACATAACCAACTAATGAGACCGTAGGTGTTTCTTGAAAATTCCATATTCAATGGTATTTCATCCCTGATGAATATTTTCAAAGGTATTTTCTACGGTTGTTGGTTGATTTGCCTGTCTTTCTTAGCTTTCAAGCGAACTCAATGACAAATCATAAGAAGCGATGATCATGCAGACGCAGCCTATGTGTTGGTTAATTGTTAACAACAAAACAGAGTTAGAGCCAGTGGGGGTATGAACGGTACAACAACGACGACAATGAAAAAAAAAAACCAAAGTACCAACTCGCTATGAGAATCGTGGAATGATGAACGTAACGATGTGGAAACGAATGTTTCAAAAGGGACACGAGTGAGCTGTGCAAAATTTATCTTAAAGAAGACTTACTGCCTGAGAGAATGGTAGCGGGTAACACGATCTGCCGACCTGAGGATCATGTTCATGCTTGGTTGCGACTGTTGAACAGAGTGATTCGTCGACGAGATCGTGGCGCGTGCCTCTGCCACGCAGGAGGCTCGCACGCTGGCCCTCGTCACGGGTTTTGACATGGAAATTGTTGCGACGGGGGCGGTGTTGTTGTTGTTGTTGTTGTTATGGATCTGTGTCGCTGGTTTTGAATTAACGCGACGGGATGATGGCTCGCAGCTACTGCTCACCAGCCAAGTGTTTCTATAATTTGCAACAAGATAAGAGGATCTTTGCTCCATCGAAATCTACTTATGCTAGATCGTACGAAGCCAGACGCTTTTAGTTAAGGAACACAGAAGTCACTTTCTGATGGACTTTTTGATGCTACAGCAAGTAGTATATCGTTCTGCTTTGCACGTAAGACCCATTACGTCTAGACACCATGCGTTATTATCATTTAAGGAAGCAGTAGATTCTACTGTTATCGGAAGTACAAAGTTGAGCAGGAAGAAAGAGATCGTTTAGAAAAAGTGGTACGGATAAACTCGGACCTTTTTACAATGGTCGTTGTTGTCGATCGGGACAGGATCCGTTTTGCTGTGTCCTTCTCCTTAGATCCAGATGTTCCGATTGCACCTTTTTGACTTCTTGAGTGCAGCAAAGGACCTAAGTACGGACTGCGAAAAGAGATGAATTTTGCATTATAGCTTTTTCTTTACAACAATTATATAGGACGATATGTATAAAGAAAAATAGACTTACTGAACAACTGCCGAAGGTCCCGTAGGAGTAGTGATGGAAACTGGGCTCGAGGGAAGACCGCTTCTTCTAGCCTTAATCTGATTTAACTTATCGCCTTGCGTCAAGACGGCGAACCTGGTTGGGCTCGCACTAGATGTTGGTGTTGGATCATCCAGTTTAATACCATCCACACGATGCATTATTCCTGACACGTTATCTTGCACCAGTTTCGAATTCCTTAGACACGCCAAGGAAGCAGCAGTTGGCTTGTCCGCCATTGAGTAAATTCCGTGCTGATGTACAGGATTTCCATTTATAGGACGTAGTGGTTCTTTCAGCAGCGAATGGAGATATGTCTCCTTTCTAAAAGACATTGATCATTCCCAATGAATCAAACAAACTTCTCATTAGGATGCATCTGTACAAATATCACGTACTCCTCTAACCACTGTTGCTGATGACCGATCACCGAACCAGGCCTACATATCCTGATCCAGGCAATGGTTTCATGTGCAGTTAAATGATAATGCTTCATGATGTAGCAACCAATCAAGGAACCTGTTCTACCAAGACCCGCTTTACAATGCACAGCCACTGCTCCTGTTGCATTCTCTGCAATTTTTAAAAATTGCCTCATGATCGAATCAGTTGGCGTTGATCCATCTACAAAGAAGAGTTCCTTATGATCGAATCCAGCCTCAGTAAATCTAGCCGCGTCATAGATCTTCTTGTTGAGTCTCACTATTGTGGAAACGTTATTGCGACGGAAGTAGGCAAAATACGACTCTGGTGCAAGCAGCGGATACCCTGTAAGAGAAGACAGAAGATGAAGTTAAAGCTTTAATAACGTGTAAGGTTAAACAAGATTAGAAATCAACATGGATTTCCATTGGCTTGTAGTTGATACTGCACGAGTTTACCATTTTCCATCTTAGTTTTGGCATGAGGACCACAGAATGCTATGAATTTTCCTGGTACTATCCAATTCAGGTCACCGTTTTCAACACGTTCAAAATGCTCGTATTCCGCTAGATGAAAATCACGAAAATTAAAGAAACCCAGTTGATGGCACTTATATACTGCACTGAGACAATCTTTCAATGAAATCTGATAACATGGTGCCCCCAACGAAGCATCGCGGAACATGGCGAATGGAGGACTGTTCGGGCTGCTTGTTAAACAGTCATAAACCTCTTCGGCAGTGCGTTTGCAATATAACACCTGTGACAAATTTGGTAATTGCACTATAATGAAAAATAGCTGAAATTTTTAGTGAACTCTTACCGCATAGCTGGCGATAAGAAACGCAGCATTTACTCTCAACTGAGGGTTTATAGTCGTGTAATGAACAATTTTCTTTTTACTGAGTGTTATTGCTTTTAACTTTCTATTAACTTTCTGACAATACCGATACAACATGGCAAGATTAAGAGGACCAAAATCAGAGTAAAAGTTCTCATAAACCAATTCATCATCAATACTGAAGTAATGAGTATTTGGTGTACTTCTTGGCTTTACGGTAGTACGTAATGTCACAAAATACAAACGATCTGTAACAGAAATCGAGTTACTCTAGGTGAAAAATAAATGAAGCACAAAGATGTTTAATACCTTTGATAAATTCTGCAATGCAGACCAACACTTCATTAGAGTCTTCCATCATGTAGCACACCTCTAATGACATACCATAGGAGGTATCTGGTAAACCTGACATTGGTATGAATTAATGAGTGACACAATGATAATCATTAGTATGTCTATAGCAGCAAAGTGGTAATAGGCGTGGGTGTAAAGGCAAACTGGATACAACTGCCTACACAGAACTTTGCCGTACGGCATATCGAAGTAGAGTCATAGGGAAGCACCAGACAGGCGACATATGTTGCGAAAGTACACTGAGTGAAAATACAATAGTCACTATATGAAATCTTACCTGACAAGTAATTAGTCGCTTAGCTGGATATCTGGTTATCGGCGCACCGGTGACAGAAAGATAGACGCGGCTAAAATTGCCGTAGTAAGTGAAGAGGTAGTATCACGTAGATTTGTTGTTTTCCAACCATCGTCTGACTTTCTAGTAGACGGTGTATTGCGCAATGAGCCATAGATAGTTCAAACGTATCAACAGAGAATTATGTTAATTCGAAGAACTCGATAACGTCATTATTCGTTGTTGAACGCAAGTTGTTTTTGGTCTCGCTGCCATGTTGGGCATCTTATCCCGTGTCTCTGTCACTCCTGATGCCAAGAGGTTCGCAAGCCAATGGCAACAGTTCTTCCTTAGCCTATATCTCTTGCTCTCTCTCTGTCTCACGGAGTGTCGCGCATCCCTGCACCCTTAATAATCACCTTCCCTTCCTTCCTTTCCTTATGGCTGACTCCGCCACTGAGGAAATGTGCCAGCTTTACTAAACACAACTTCACACAACCTTTTCTGACCAGTGGTACTCCAAATACCTACAAATACCATCGATGGGTTCATCTAATTTATTTAGCTCCTTATTCTTTTCTCTTCTCGTCTCGAATAATAGCTAAACACCACTAAACATCAACCGATATTCCTAACTTCGCCGACACCGCCCTAACTGGCCCTGACTCTACTTGCTCTTCTCTTCGATAATCACACTTGATCTCCGCAAGCAACAAGAGCCAACGAGCGGCTTGGCGGCCAGACTAGGGCGCCAATAACTTTTAAACTATATCGCTGCGCACTGGCCCAAACCATTCCTAACGGATCTCTTTGGAATCCCTTCCTTCGAGTAACAAATTCCTGGTGGGAGACCTTAAAGCCCGTTTACATTGCTATGCAGCCAGTAGTAGCCGTAGCAGCCAGTAGTAGCCCCTTCTTCATTGATATCGTATAACAATCTAACATCATGTCGCGCTCTTTATAAATTCATTAAATAATCTTGTAATTTATTTAATGCTTGCTTCTGTACTATAAACTTGAAATTTGTATAAAATAGGTCTTCCTGTAAAACACCACAAGGTATGTTTTAAAAATGGCTGTAATCCTGTTCATGTGCGATTGCGCTTTTTAAACCTTTTAAAGCTGTTCATATGCTGACCACAGCTGTTAGGTCTATTCTATTATGAACTGAAGTATTCCGCTTATGACATGTGAATTTGAGTTTCTCGTTTTAGGGAAAACATGTTTTTTAAATGTTAGAGTGAACCACATGAATAGAGTGAACTGGTACTCCATTTATATATGAAGTTATCGTTCTTGTTTACAAGAATATAGTGTTCTTGCCAGTCTATGCTGCTGATAATAGTTCAATAATGTCAGATGCATTTGAAGAGATACAAGCAATTAAAATAAAGAGAAATAGTTTGAGAGAGAAACTGCAGAAGAGGAAACGTGAACGACATGAATTATTTACTCTTACCTCTACTTCATCCACATCCTCGGGAATGGAGTCTCATACGGCTGGTGATAATCATTCCTCCAACTCGCACTTTATCTATACCAGATATTTCCGAGATTATAACCAGTGTAATCTAATTTTGCTTTTCAGAGTCTGCTGCGACAACTAGTAAATCTGAACACGGAGAATACAAAAGGGACGTACTCTGTATTCTGCATGAATCTGCTCCCAATTTACCTATTACATCTGCTGAACTTACAGATCAGTTGCGAAAAAATTTAAGTGCAGATGTCTCATATTCAGATATTAATAAAATATTGGAGAATCTTGCTGCGCAGGATGTAATTAAGTTAGTGAGTTTCCTTGCTACACAGAAATTCCAAATTTCTGATATACTCATTTTACATTTATACTGTCACTATTTTACTTTTAATGTTGCAGAATCAGAGAAGTGACAGAAGATGGTGTATTTGGTTACACAATATTGAATGTGTCTGAGGCTCAATCCTCATGCCAATCACAATCGGAGGATGTAGAAAATCCAGGTAGCACAGATACCTCTGCATCTGACCCAAATGATAATGCTACTACAGAGAAACAGCCAAAGTTGGATAGAAAAAATACTGAGGATATAATGTCTTTAATCACAATGCCAACTATCAGAGAAAAGGAAAGTAAAAAAGTTGGTGAACAAATTCTTGACCTTCTTTCGAAACAGACTTCCAAGGAAAAATCTCTTGCCGAACGTTTTCGTTCACAAGGAGGAGCACAGGTCATGGAATTTTGTCCTCATGGAACTCGTGTTGACTGTGCTAAGCTCAACGGCAGACCCGGGTTTGCAGAGAAATGTAAGAAACTGCATTTCAAAAAAATTATCCAAAGTCACACAGATGAATCTCTTGGTGACTGCAGTTTCCTGAACACCTGTTTTCATATGGATACATGCAAGTATGTGATCCTGTTTAACATTATATGAAAACAAGTTTATAATATACTTAATGTATGTTTAATTACAGATATGTCCATTACGAAGTTGATGCTCCCATGTCCCAACCAAGGGAACAAAATGATACTGAGGATACTAATGGTGGTCCAATCAATAAAGTAACAAATCTCGATAGTAAAAATGGCAGTGCGAACAATTGTGGCAGCAGTGGCGTAGGAGTCGCTGAACTGACCCTTTATCCTCCACAATGGATTCAATGTGATCTTCGATACCTAGACATGACAGTTTTAGGAAAATTTGCTGTTATCATGGCTGATCCACCTTGGGATATTCACATGGAACTACCATACGGAACCATGTCGGATGATGAGATGAGGCAATTAGGAATCCCTGCTCTTCAAGATGAAGGACTTCTGTTTCTCTGGGTTACTGGAAGAGCTATGGAACTTGGCAGGGAATGTCTCCAACTTTGGGGATACGATAGAGTTGATGAGATTATCTGGGTAAAGACAAACCAGTTACAAAGGATTATTAGAACTGGTAGGACAGGTCATTGGCTGAATCATGGAAAGGAACACTGCCTGGTAGGCATGAAGGGAAATCCTCGTATTAACAGAGGGCTCGACAGTGATGTCATAGTAGCGGAAGTTCGTGCAACCAGTCACAAGCCGGATGAGATTTATGGAATCATTGAACGGATGAGTCCTGGTACCAGAAAAATCGAATTGTTTGGCCGTCCACATAATGTTCAACCAAATTGGATAACTTTAGGTAATCAAGTCGATGGTGTTCATTTAATTGATCCACAACTTATAAAGGCTTTCAAGAAACGATATCCTGACGGCAATACCATGAAACCTGGTAAAACGTAATTGTATTCGAGATGAGAAGTGAATGAATTATGCGTGAGCATGCCTCATAAAAACGATATTTACCTCACTATCGAGTTTCTAATGTGATCTCGTACAAATGGCGACCACAAAAAAGTGGCATATAAAATCTACAAAATAAATGCTTTTAGTTATACAGAATTTAAAACAGTAGTACATACAATACATTAGGTAAAAAATAGTTATGCTGCATATACAGTCTTCTTATAAAAAATATTTAATACTGTATTTCAAATGTTTGGAGTTGTAATCTTAAAAATTTACAATTGCGTTTACGAATACGTAACTGTATCATTCAGACCTTGTAGATTTAATCGTTCAGGAACTCATAACTTTAGTTCAGAAGATCCTTTACACTAGACACTATTTTAATCAGTTCCGAATTCTCTTTTTTTTTTGGAAACTTGTCTTTGAATTCTTGTACGTGAAGATAACACTCCCTAACAAGAACATTCTCAAGTAACCATGAATCTTTATACGAAGCGGTACAAAAAAATCTAATTATGTGGATATTTGCAACAATGCCTGGAAAACTTCAATCTCGAAAATTTGAAGTAAGATCCAGCAGCTAATATTTTGCAGATATCCTCAGTTTTTTACACCTCTTCAAAAAGTTTCTCACTCCGATCCATGTAGTGTTACAGACATGTCTTGTTAGGAGAGCAGGAATTCATGTAGCATCTTGTAGCAAAAAAAATATATAAATTTGCTACTAAGTGGGAACAATATTCGCTGCTCTCTGAGTGAACACGCACAGTCTACTTCCTACTTGCACGGAAGTATCGTCCATGAAGGCCTTAAATGAATCCAACGCTACTACGTTTCTGTTTAAGAAGACTCTTCCTAAGAGAAACTGAAAATCCACTGTCGCAGAGACTACTTAGAGATCTTCTCTTGGGCTGATTTTTCGAAATTGGTGATTCTGCTTTCGGTTTGTTTTCCTTTTCCTGATTATCTATGCTTTTCTGACGCGTGACAATTCCAGTTGAAATGCGATTAATTCTACTGAATGAATCAACCCAGTGCCGCTGTGCATGTTCATCTTCTGTCGTTAGATGATGATTACCTACGATGAATCCCGGTTCTTTTTCCTCTATTTCTATTTTTATTTGATCCCGCGATATTACGGGGTAGGATATATTATATTTTTTGCAGAGACGTCTTGTAGCTCGCGTAAGAACGAAGCACGTATCAAAAAGGAAACAGTAAAACTTCTGTAACAAGAAAAAGAGGGTATTTTGAAGGCTACAAATTTTAAGTATGATAATGGGGGATATTTTTGAACTGACCGTTCCTCGCGCATCTTTAAGCATTCCTTCCGTTATTAATTCCGTGGCGCCGTCTACACATTTCATTGGATCGTATTCTGAATTTGTATTAATTTTCCCTCTCGCTATGTCACACTCTGCATCTCCCATGGCTTTATCGATTTTCGTGAGTAATTCGGAAAGTACAGCAGCCGCTTTCTTCAACGTCTCTTGATCCGGGTGAGCTGAGGGTGTGTGCCGTAAAATCTCGTTGACCAACAGAGGATATTTAACAACACGTGACCGTGGTACGTCCAAGTATGTCCAGAGATCAACAGAATGCGGAGAGAGTACACGCTTTTTTAAAAAATCATGAAAGCGTTTACTACTCGCTTTTTTTATCTCTAGTAAATGCCTTGCATATACTTGAGTTCTACATCTTTCAATGTAAGGTTCTGTTAAAGTGGAAACCTAAGAATACATTGTACATGTTACAACAGATATATGCTGTTATGAGATTATTATCTATTGGATACTCTGAATCGCTTACCCAATTAAGTATTATTGGCCCAACTGTATCTGTGACACCATTTGAATCTCGCAGCTTAACCAATTCATCTCTCAACTGACCATGTATCTCTATTAATTGAGATATATCTCCAAAAAGTATGGACATGTCATTTGTATTAAGGATACCAGTTGAAAGCAATGGTTCATAATATACATCTCTAAGCATACAAAGATCATGTAGGAGTACATCTTCACCACAACACAATTCATAAATGGCTTCTTGTCTTTTTATTCCACTTCGACTGAGGCTAATATCTGGATGGACTCCATTATTTCCATCTGCAACATCCACAACCCAGCTGCGGATTCTAGCATTGACTAATTTTCCATTAGTTCCTCTGATTCTAAAATATGGAGTGAAAGAAAATACATAGGATATGCACATATATACGTATGTATGTATTACACGAACATTTGTTAGTTACTTTTTCCTAATTGTGCTCAAGTTTGGTTCATCCACAGCCAATGACAGATCTGATGAGTTCGCTTGAATGCTAAATGATCTTTGAAGTACATTTCCAATTCTGCTGCTTGTTGGAACCGAAGATAAGAAGAAATTGCTGGCCACCTCGGTAATCCGTCGTCGTTTTTTCTTTTTTCCAGCATCTGACCCAATCGAAACATCCATTGAACTGACGCTGACCGCATCGCTATTTGGACGCTTTCTTGATCTCTACAAAAACTCCATATATTTTAAATCACGAATATACATTGGGTTTTCATTGTAGAGATCATATCATCAATGATATCTTTTGCTTCAAGATGAAACAGGATTCCCCACTAAGTTTTCATTTCGTTTTAAACTTAAAACCAAAAAATCTTACCAGCCAGAATTTCTTTTGTGGCTCCGGAAATTTGTCCTTAATCGTAGTATCGCAATCGTCCTCCATTTTTTATTGAAGTAATAAATACTTTTCACGTATATGAATATAAAGACCAAGTACCCATTCTGTCAGACGAAATACGTTACAACAAAAAATGTATTACCAGAGATGTGTTACAAGCAAACACAAGTGTTCAGCGCAGTGTGGATCATTCTGAACGCTGTGCCGCTGCTATGCGCATAAATCTACAAATCCTACCCATAATAATATACATACATGATGTCATATGGAAGTGCCGACGAACTTAAATCAATTAGTAATATGTAGAAGTATTATCCTAAAAACATTAGATGATCTATAAGTTAATATCTGGAAGTGGATAACTAATAGAAGATCTGTTTATCCTCATAAAATTGCAAAACATGCAAATGTGAGAACACTGTGAACGTAGCTTAAGGTTGAGTGATGACGAATGCTGTGAAAGGGACATCGTTTATTGCAAGTTGGTCTAACCTGACACGAAGTAGAAAGTAGTATCCTACTCAACGTTGATAGTGTTCCGTGCGCGATTTGTTTAGACTGCTTTGGAGATCATCAAGCGATTTTAAGTTATCCTGAGAAAATGCCAAAGAAGACGAGTAAGAATTCTTGGGGTGGACGTAGGTTGGACAACGCTGAGGATAAGCATTTCTTTGGTAAGTGCAATGCAAAAATCATTTTTCTATTGATAACAAGGATCCATCGAATTTACGACGCATATACCGTTTTTCTTTAGATTTGCTGCACGTGCCACACCAGTTGATAATTGTCTAATCTTTCACTATAATTTAGATATCATTCCCTATTTCATTTACTATTTTCTATTTAATGTACTGGTATAGGCAGGTTACTATACATATAGACTAAATTTAAGAAATAAAAATAAAATTGTACTTTGTTACTTGGCAGGTCATGATGATAGGTCTGTCCGTTTAGATGGTACAAGGCCGAGGGTATCATTTAAAAATCATGCAAGACCTATTAGAGATAGACAAAGATATGCGGAAATGGCTATCAAAAATCATTTGGATGATGATATATTAATGGCCCTGGGTGCTAACAATAATAACAATGGAAGGCAAGTAATTATGAGAGGAAGGGGTCGAGGTACATCACAAGGAAGAAACAGCCCATTACCTCCAAGAGGATTAAGAGGTGGAATGCTTCAGAGATCAAGACCTATGGGTCTTGTAGAGGCCAATTGGTACAAAGTTCTTGTAAGTATTAAAGGATAAGCTTTCTTCGTAAGTCATTTCATGAGGTGTGTTTCAGATACCATATGGCCAGAAATATGACAAAAAATTTGTATTGACAAGTTTACATGGTCTGATGGCACCAGATACCTTCGTGCCTATAATGGTTAGTAATATTTTTAAGAAGTTAATCTTTATTCATGGCTGTTTCCATTGGAGTTAAGCTGGGAGATGATATACGTAAGTTATACATTTGAGCGATTCCATCAGACTTAAGCCACTCATACTTTATTTGCTGTGCTGCGTGGATTTGGTCGTTTTTATTTTGAACACAGATATCCCGGAGACGGTGCATCGTATTAAAAAATTACAAAAAATGAAAATTTTGTATTTTTGTAGTATCTACAATAGAAAAATTTCGTAATTAAATTAAAAAAATTTGTGTTTAAAAAACGGCCGGATGTTTCAATTTGTAATTTTGACAAAGTTCATATTCTGTCTACAGAATATTAAAAAAATGTCGTAACCGATATCGGTGGGGCTTTGGGCAAGAAAAATAATTTTGTGTATTTCTTTTTTTGAAAACAGGCCTAGATTATTAAAAAAAAAATTTTTTTTATTTTTCTATTGTACATACTAAAAGAAAACACAAAACTTTCATTTTTTATAATTTTTTCATACGATGCACCGTCTTCGGGATATCTATGTTCAAAATAAAAATGACCAAATTCACGTAGCACAGCAAATAAAATACGAGTGGCTGAAGTCTGATGGAATCGCTCATTTATATATTAGTGAACTACAGGTATAAGTTAAATTTATCTCAACTCTCAGTCAACTCTAGTGAACAGATAGTCTCTGCAATCAATGTGATTCAGACTCCACTTTTGTTTTTTTAGTACAAAGTTGTGGGAAACGATGCTGTTTTTTATATTGAGGACTTTAAAATAGCTAACAAGTTGTTAAACTGTGATAGAAGAGTAACCACAAGCGATGGCTTTAAACTGCATGTTAGAGTAAAGCCAGGATATCCACAGTGTGATGTTGATGAATCCCTGAAGGCACGATTAAAGCTGGCATTGGTTAAACGATACATACCAGAAACAAAAGCCTTAGATTTGTCAAAATTTCATCAAGACTCAGGTAAATTTGGATATAATTCAAATAACATTTCATGCAATAATTTACTTACCTTGTATTTCATATTGTTGTATTTGTTCTAGATCTTGTGGCAGACTATTTTTGCGCGTTATTCCGTGCTCCCATATTAATGGCTGTACTAGATATCGTTTCCGAATACGTCCCTGATTTGGAGGCATTAAATTTAGATGGGAACAAACTGAACATCATTGAAAGGCTTAATGTCTTGCATAAGAAATTCTCTTGTCTAAAAATTCTTTATATAGGGGACAACAAAGTAAGTATAATATTTCGAAAAATGTTGAATCGACTGCCAGAATCTCACTATGAACAGTGTAGTTGAGAGAACAAAGTAATATTTTCAGATAAGAGAGATGAATCAATTAGACGTGATCAAGGACTTGAAATTGGAAGAGTTCAGATTAGCAGGTAATCCAGTCTGCTTCAAGTACAAATCACGACACGATGACTACGTTAGGTAATGTATGGTTTAATCATTTTTTGAATTGTTAGTCAATAATAGAAACAGTGTAAGTTACATGGATAAAGATAGTAATTCGATATCTTTATGTGCATAAAATTTTAATGTATTCTATGATAATGAATGCTTTCGTTACAACTAACTCGGAGCTTCCGGGCTTCTGGCTTTTCTTTCTTGGCGACAGTGACGTGCGAAAAAGATTTCCGAAACTTCTAAAACTGGTAAGTTTTAACATGTTCATTACCATAAACAAAATGCTTGTTTACCTTCTTATTTTCATGAAAAATTTATTCCTAAGGACGGAAATGAATTGCCACGACCAATCGTCTTTGATGTTGCGGATGAAGGAGTTAAATTACCACCGAGTCAACGAATGTTTGTTGCAAACGCCAAAGCTCAAGAGATCGGTGGGCAATTTATGCAACAATTCTTCCTCATATTTGACAGTGAAAATCGTCAACCATTGCTGGACGCGTATCATGAGCATGCGTGCTTCAGTATGACAATCTCTTGCGCTAACAATGCAAATAAGTAGGTTAAACACAACACGTAACATGAAATATTTTTAGTTACTCTTTCTATAAATTTAAGACTTATTTGAATTTTCAGACTAAATAACTATCTGACTGAAAACAGAAACCTACGTAGGTTAAATGACACCAATAAAAGACGAAAATTATTGAAACAAGGAAGACTGCCAGTGGTGTCCTTCATTTCTCAATTGCCACGAACTAAGCATGATCTCAATAGTTTCACGATGGACATCAGTCTGGTGACGGTAAGTGGAATAAGAAATTATAAATGAAGAAGACATTATTTAGACAACCTAAATCTAATACCACAACAATATTTTTCTTCAGGAAACAATGATGTTGATCACCGTGACAGGATTGTTTAAAGAGTTGGACAGTAAGGAGGAATTTATTCGGTACTTCAACCGAACCTTCGTAATTGTGCCTGAAGGAAGCGGATACTGCATTCGTAATGAACAATTGCATATTAGTCAACCATCGGAAATGCAAGAGAGGAAAGCTTTCTTAGAACAGTCGGTGGACGTGTCAGGGTCAGTTGCATCTGGGTCAGCATCTTCATCGGCATCGAGTTCAACAGTACCGGTATTGTCCCAAGTCATGAAAGAGCAAATGACAATGACACTCAGTCAACAAACAAACATGAACTTAGAATGGAGCTTGAAATGTTTGGAGGAAGTCCAATGGAACTTTGACAAAGCACTGTCAACGTTTCACGAGTTTTATAAGCTCGGTCAAATTCCACCTGCGGCGTTTGAAAAATAGATCAACGCATTTAGAAAAATGTCTGTAAAGTTCCATGGCCACGTTCATGTTTGTTCACACGACTGCGTGCTCAATATTTTCTTCGTTATTTTTTTATTTATTTTTTTTCTTTTTATTACATCATATGTTGAATTCATGGTTGGACGGCGAACATAGCGATTCATTTTCATTATTTCCGTTTATAATTTAAAGTGAAAGAGGTAACATTCATATTGCTTATAAACTTTATAGAAACGCGATTTTCGCCATCCAATTTATTTGACTCGAATTAAATATTAAACACAATGTCTGTTGTGCTGATAAGCATAACATTAGACTTTGCTATAAAGGTAAGTTATTTCATGTTCGCGTGAAAAACTAGTTATGGTCGTTCAAGATTTAGATATTTTCATTTGTGCAATCTCGTGCCCGGCTCTTTTTATAACAAATTTCGTTAACCTTAATTCGTCTTTTATTTTCTTCAAAATTTCTCATCGTTCGGCATTAATATATAATCATTCAATATTTTTGAAGATGATATGTTTCATCTTAAAATATCGTTACATGTTTCTTTTTTTACCATTTTGAAGCCATTGAATGTAAATATGATGTTCACTATTGATAGAGGTCAGCAGCTAATAACAAATATTTTTTTTCGGTAGAAGTCAAATTAACATAAATTTATGTTATCCTTATTCATGATAAAATCTAGGGAAATTGGATCAGCGATTAACGTGTCGTTCTATAAATGATATAATCTTAGTATAATTGAAGCGGAATAATTATAATAGACTAAAATTAACAAAACGTAACTTATTTAACATTATTAGTATATCACGTTATTAGTCTTTGTTAGATTTTCTTTTCTCACAATGTTAGAATAGTGCTGTGCCGTGTGGTGAACTTTGAGACGCTCAATATAATACTGCTGTCAGTAGCTCACAATAATTTCGAAATACGTTTCGAATTTTATAAATTTTCAAATATAAAAAAAATTACACGAGCATGTTTTATCCTTCTGTTAATATAAAATCTAGTTTTCGTAGTGGTTCTACATGCGAAGACGTTTACCATAAAAAATTCGATTGTACCATCATTAACTGTTAAAAATGTTTCCTAAAATGACGTGCATTGTATTTGAAGAAAGAAAAGATGCTTCCATTTTCTAAGTAGGTTTTGTCATTCATTTAATAGTGTCAGAACTTCATTAATGGAAATGCTATCATCATACTACTGTTGGAAAAAGTCTTTGCGTTTGAGATATACAAGATCTAGTATAATATAACGTAATAGGTATAACTACTGAAAATGTTCACACAAAAAATACATTGAGGAATTATTATTTTCCATTACAGTTAAAAATTTATATTTTCCTATTCTTATGTATAATTCTGAAATATGCTTAGAAGACTTCGAATGGACAATTCTTCAAATGTTACGATAGTTTCTAGTTGAGTTTATGGCGTTTGATGACTTCTCAAAGTGAAATCATAATATGGCCTTTGGACATTGCATTGTGATGTAAAATTAAGTCTAAAGAGAGAACAGCACAAGGCTCGCACTTGAGAAAGAAAAAACCATATCTTTTTATAAAGTATCGATAAAGATTAGCTTAGGCTTAACAGCATATAATTGTGAATGGAAAAAATCCTAAGGATATGAAAGAACTTTAAGTACAACCTTGTAGCATGATCACTCTATATTTTAATACAGTATAGCGATTGTGAAAAATCATGCGCGTTATGGGATCACAAATTATTGGCTCGATAAACTTAGAAATATTAAAGAGCATCGCGACAAGAAAAACATTTTTTTTTATGAAGAACCAAGAATTTATCGACAAGAATCATCGTGGCTTATCGACCTCATCGTTGTCATCGAATCGAATTAGATGCCTCGTCATCAGGAATGATCTTCAACAAGAGAGACCCCGATCAGCGTCTGCGCAGCGGCTCACTAGAGAATTTGGAACTTTAAAAGAATTATGTACTCCGCTGCATCAAGTTATTATTACTGACTGTTGACGATAGATGCGAGAGACTTGAGTGTCTTGTGTTTTCGCACTCCCATTTCTTGGGATAAAAACCTTGAATCGGGATTGGAGCAGTCTATCGAGAACGAAGGAATCATCAATGACTATTACTGGATGGTGATTCCTAGGAGACGGTTGCCGCATTAGATGGCGAAGATCCAGTAATGTTGGAAATTAATCGTCTACCTGTATTTTCATGGAGAGCAGAAGTGCACCAGCTCTGACTGTCTTACGAAATGGAGTTGTGTTGTATAAACAACCCCCTAGAGCATATGTACAGCTGAACATTTGCATAGATGCAGAGTCCTGATTGTCGTATGCTGCACGGCACTGCAGCAGAGTGGGAAGGTGAAAGGATAATTTGGCAAAGATAAAAAGACGAATTAAACTCCGTCTCTTCAGTTCGCGGGATTTGAGTCCGGGTGAATTAACGGAGAATCGATATAATTATCAATGTCAAAAGGGAGGCCGAATAATTTGTGCTCGTGTAACGCGTATGAGATAAGGTCTATTACGCTGATAGGGCTAGGTATATCTGATAATCGATTTTTTTTTTCATTTAACACTCGTTTACATTTATGTCTTTTTTCCTGTTTTAATGTGACTCAAACCTACGTCTAAGATGAATGCGTGATTGAATGATTTAGAAATACGAACATTGTGCGATTGTGAAACAAATTACGGTAATGCTGGAATCAAATGCATGCATGAAGACTATTTTTAAGTGATGTGAATAAACTAAATGAAAGAACTTAATTCCATGCATTCATTCGAATTTCGGTCGCGACAATAGCTGTACCGTGATTTGTTGATCATGAAACAAAAAAAAATTGTACGCGCATCTAAGCGACCATGTAAATATTCTTGTATTTGCGTACATACATTGAGCACATTTGATTGTATAAATGATAAGTGACGTTATATATTATGTAAATATATATAAAGGAAGATAGAAAAAAAGTTAAGTAACATTTCAATGGAAGGCAACTTGATTGTGGATTGTAAACTATAAAAAAAATAAAATAATGAGGGACGAAATACATACGATTTTGGAATAGAAAGAAAAATCCGTACTTTAATGTATTTTTATTTATTCTGTGTCTCAAGATATTCATCATCCATTAATTTTTCATGTCTACATTGTCAAAAGACATTTCAAAATAAATTTGAGTAGATAAAGTACTGCACCATCTTTCGCATATGTAAACTGGGACAATTAACGTTTATGCACTGTGCTTTACACACTATGTGAGTCACTCATATAATTCTGGGAGTGAAAAGATTTAATACATTTGCACGGAATTAGCGATATGACATAGAAAAACATTGCGCTATCTTTTCTGTTTGAAACGCATTTTGTGCATCACTCGCTACTTATGGATTCCATATTCTGCAATTAATAATATATTAGTGATTGAACTCGTAATTTTTTGTGACTAACATTATAATTTAATCTTACTAGAATATTCGCCTTGAGTGCCTGAAGATCCTCCTTTGTCTGTCTCTTAAAGAAACCCAGCTGCATAAAAAAATGAATATTAGTTTTATTGAATAAATACGCACATTCGGATAAATATGACCTTTCAATAATTCTGCTCACCCAACTCAAAATTCCCACAATTATGCACAGTAATAACAGTCCTAAAAATAGGGATCCAACTAGAATCCAAAAGGAAACTTTGATTTTTGTTGCGGTACCATAAAATGCTGTTGTTACATTGATCATCGATCTGTAGAAAATTGTAATATGTATAATTATTCATCATCATCAATGCAATCAATAGACTTACATAGTTCCAGCAATTGGTAATGATATCGATGGTCTTATTACTGTGACATTGGCATTTAAACTCAGCCGAATTATTCTCTCAACGTGTGGCGAAGTTGCTGTAGAAAAAATGACAAAATAAATGTCTCGTGTTAATATTTTTTATTAATAAAGAGGTAAATAATTTACCATTAAATGTTGAAAAATGTAGAACCATTTTGATATACAGTTTGCCAATATCCTTTGTTTCTTTTAACGCAGCTAAATTACACTTTATCCTTTCGCATTGGACGCCATGGGTAGAACAATTAAGATAAATTATTTCGCCTTTCTCCTCCTTTGATAGATCCGTTTGATTCATCAATGTTGTATTAACTTCCAGGTGTACCGGATTACTTGAGTTTTGACTATTTCGTTTTCCTCTCTGATAAACGTTAATTGATTGTAGCACGTCGGTGTTATCATCCTCCAGCGTGGTATCTAATGTGTCCGGTCTAAACCACACGATGCCCTGAGAAGAACATTCGTAACGACTACCAGAAATGTACAACTGAAAATTAAATAATAAAGAACAGTCAGTAAAAATATTATATCCAAGTGCATACGAGTGATAGGACATTTAGTTAAGAAACTAAACATAAATTTCATTCACCTGAGGTTCATATACAGATAAAAAATAACTATAATTCCCTGTAGCTATTGGCATGTCGACTGTAAGTTCCGAATCAGAAATGGGCGTTGCACCTAACTTAATAATCTGATATGTATGTTGAAATGTTATATTCAGAGTATTCTCATTTTTTCTAGAAAAGTAATAACTTTCCTCGTTAGCTTTCCTGAAAGACACAGATGTTAGTTAATTTTCCTTTTAAAAGTAAAGTCCTGGTATAGTAAAAATTAATGTACCCAGTTATTGTCAGTGCAGCTTTGGTTACTAGACGTAAAGGCATTGTAATTTGACTAATTCCTTTATTGATACTGCGCGTTCGAATGGTCATAGTAAAGTTTAAGGTTTTATTGTGCCACGAGCTTTCATGCAGGGCTTTCATATCCAAATCCAGCAGGACGCTTTTCTGTGGATTTTAATAAAGCCAATAGCATGCTTTCCTTTACTATTATGCTAATACTAAAATGTTCAACTTACATTCATTGCATCAGCAAGATTTCCTACATCACAAGTTACTGTCAAGCTGTTATTACTAGTACCTTCTTGGCATGATGGCAATATACTACGTAATGTCACTCCATCCGGAAAAGAAAATACAACCGTTGTGAGATATGCGATCTCGCCGTGATTATTTAATTTGATCTCCAAACTTATGTCGTCCGATCCGATGACCCATGTATCATTATCCCTGAGAAATTATGCGAGGTTGTTCGTGCTTTGATATTTTTTAGGATTATCAAATCTTTCAAGACTTACTGAACTCCGAGAAATATTGCATTCGCAGTTATGGTTGAGTGACAAACTTTGTCATCTCCGCAGCCAATATCAAACGGTAGTGTCAGCTGAATCCATTTGAGTAGACTCTCACTACTTTCCATAGCACACGAATGACAGAATGTATCATCTTATGGAAATAAATTACAAACTAATTATGGAATTAATAACGAGGAAATATATGATGCAAGATTTCTGAGAATACCTTGATCCCCTTTGTCGCCTATGATAATAACAGTTTTCTCTACATTTTCTGCAATTTGATATCGGATGAATATATTTATGGGATCTAGAAAGTTACTGATGTCGTTCTGTAACAAAAAATAAATTATCAGAATGATTTAAACAGTTGATTATTAAAAGCTGGATTGACATTTGAATAAATTTACTTACTGCCACACTGAAAGAATAATTTGTGCAGGATCCTTTAGATAATTCCAGATATTGCAAACTCTTCAGTTCACTCTCTTTGATCCTTTTAAGATCTTCGTCGATCCTCGCTTCGATTTTGTATTCTGTAATAAATCATTCATTCGTCTTTCAACATGTTCTACTGATCTGAAGTGAAACGTGTAAGTGAACTGTACTTTGTACGCGATGAATCTTCTTGCTCAACTGATCAATACAGGTTTCAAGTTGAAAACTCGTAGAATTTCTATTCAGCGAACTTGGATATATTTTACTTGTAACTATCGTCCTGACGACAGGTTTGCCTCTTAGTACAACGACGTGGCCAGATTTGTATGCGCCAATTGCAACTTCCGGATATCTGTGAATGATAAAGCATAACTTGGTACCAAGATCACTTGATTCTATTACTGGTCAACAATGGAAATAATTTCTTAACCCATTGCCATCAATATCGATTGGCTTCGAAAAGGTGTAACCGAATCCTTGAAGACCATAAAAAATATCACTGCCAGATATTCTCTGTGATGATCGGAGAAGAGTACCCTCCTCTATAGCAATGCGTCCATTAAATACATATACAACGCCAGAATCTTCCCACGGAGCGCCTACGATAAGGTCTGTCCAAAAGAATACAATGAATGAATACATGTCCTATTATTAAAAAGAAATATTTAATTTTTAAGAATAATCTTCTGAAAATTACCATCGAATCCATCACCGTCTAAATCGCCAGAGACTAGTGCGTAACCGAATTGACCCCCTTCTACGTTACCTGATAAGGTTGCACCTGCTACAAATTCGCCCTATAATTTATCAGAGAAATATAAATAATCTTTTATCTGTAAAGGAGAAGCCATTTAATAATATAATAACTCACTGTTTCACTACCAAGATAAATGTACACTTTGCCATTATCCTGTCCCCAATGAGGAGCTCCGACTATAAGATCATCCAGGCCATCGTTATTCAAGTCACCTGCAGCTAGACTTGCTCCAAAATATTGGCCAATTACGTTTCCTATGATACTTGGAACGAGGGCAGGATTTGTTGGATTGATTATCGCTATTGCTCCTGTGTACCGCAATCCGGGTGCTGAAGTGGCGAACAATAGTTCATTCTTCTTGAAGAAGTAACCAGACGTCACGCAATAGCCTGCATTTATATGAATTGTAATTTATAATTATTCACATACGTTATTTATATACTGTATGCATTTTTTGTAATTTCCTTTGATTTGTAATCTTTCTACTTTCGCACGTGATAACTTTAAGCGCAATATCTGGAGTGGGACATATGATACAATAAGAAATACATACCAAAATATGGTAGTACTCCTTTGTCTCCAACACCTTTTGGGGGATAAATTACATTAGTTTTCTTGGTCAGTGACTTTTTTAGACGTATCAATTGCACAGCACCATGTCCTTTACTAATTGGTATTCCTTCTATGCCAATTGCATTTTCACTATGGTTCTATGATAAAAATCAATCATGTACTATATTACTCAATTATAATACGATAGTTTAAGAAATGTAATGAGGGGAACTGTACCGTGCTATACTTTATAGAAAATCCACGTACAGGATCGTTCCAGCCTCCCTTAGAAAAATCTGAAATATTTTAAATTAGACTGAATTTTTTCTGACCAGTACTTATTATTTTACAAAATACCGTGATCAAATGCTCTCTCTGTGTCAGCTTTCATGTTTCCTGATGTAATCAAGCCATTATAGCATAGTCCATGTATAGTAAGAAGTTTTTTACGTGAAGTTCTGATTGTCATAGTCGTACGAGGTGCACAAATCTAAAATTAATAAATAAAATAATGAATAGTTATATATCTTATGGACATATAAAACTAGAAGAATGAATAATCCTCACTGTTAATATATCATCTGGTTCATATATACTCAGAGCTGCGCCAAACCAGCTTCCTGCCTTATGTATTGTGATAGGAGACACATTTGGTAATTGTATTGGAATGTCATAAGGATCACTTGGCGTCACTTGAGTACATTTCTTGCCAAATAATTCACAACGATAAGCAACGCCTGGATCCGTTGGCAATTTTTGTCTTTGATTTAATGAATAATTGCCACGAGGTGCTCCAACAATCAACCTTCATTTAAATTATTTTATAAAATTAAATTATTGTTCCAAATCCGAGGAAATTCATGGACTTCCAACAAATGGCGTCATGGCCAATATCAAATCTTACCATGATGAATTCTTTCCTGCTGAGTGGTACAGAAGTACAGTATAGCCGAAGTAATCGCGGCCAGAATCATTTTGTAAGTTTTTTCCATTTGATACTGATGGATCCGAGTAGAGGATGGGACGACTTGTGTCTAAATTATATCCAAAAACTACTACAGGGAGTAACAGTAGAAGAATTTCGGTACTCATTGTAAATGTTGCATCGATGTATCGATAAATTGAATTCAAATAGAAATTCTTACTCTGAATTATGCACTACGTTATATGTAGATCACAGTAAACTATCAGGAAGTTAAAGATGTAAAGGCAAAAGGCTAGAATGTCTCTACTTTGAGATCTCGAATTTCTTTCGTCCTGTATAGAGGCGAAAACCGACTGATGAGAGTACTTCAAAGTAGAGGAAGGATGTAACTGTGATAAAGGAATCACGTGCAGCTTAAAGTAGTGGGTAGGCTATGGCATACAGGCAAAAGAATATAAATCTGTGTATACGATGATTATTTATCAAGAAACTGGATGTGGTAACGAAACGTTTGTAGATGAGACATACTCAACAACTGAACATAAATGTGTTGAAATTAAAGAAAATAAGTAAAATCCCCCAAAAAACACTTACGTGTAAAAAACTACGCCAAGTACAGGATTGCTGTGAATTCCTCTAACAAAAAGTATTGATATCACATTATTGAGGCCAAATACATAAGTCACTACATGTTGTCCTATTATATGATCTAGCACTGGCCCATCATTTTAATTATATTTTCAATATTTCCTATAACGTTTTCGCTACTCTTTTATGTTACTACTGCTTCCCGTATTTAATTATGATTTAATGGTGATTTAATAATTAATAAAACTTTAGGTGATTCCTTATCGAGTACTACTTGGCGGGTCCGTACCAGGAATTCCAAAGTACTTACTTTGCACGTGCTCATAGTATT